GGGGCTGAGAGAGCTCTGACAGAAACTGCTCTTTTTCAAGAACACCTCTGACAGAACTATGGCTTGCCCAAGGTCATCCAGCAGCTGCAAGTGGAGGAGTGGAGAATCAAACCTGGTTCTTCCAGATTAGAGTCTGCGCACTTAACCACTACACCAAACTGGCTCTCAAGTTGTCATGTAAGTTGTGTGGCAGCAAGGTGCCCAGTAATGTACCCTCTAAGCTGTGGAGACTTGTGTTATGTATGAAGATGGCCACGGCTACGCTAGCCTAGCCATGCGGTCTGGCAGACTGACAAACCTTCGGTCCGAGAACAATAGCCACCTCGGATCCTAGTGCTTCCAGAAGACTTAGGAGATAGGGAGTGAATTGTATAACGTCTATAATATTTATTCAACAGTTGAATAACAGTTGATAGATTATTGTAGATATTTAGAGTTTTAGTAATTTTGTAATTAACATATGCAGATCAAATGCAGTTTTATATTTAAATATTTTATATATATATTATTGGTACCCTTTTGTATTGTTTGTAATTGGGCTGGTGATATACCGAATAAACTGAAACTGACTGACAGGAATTGGGGGGGGTGTTGGGTGTGACTGTGGACACGCATATAAGCCGGCCTCGGACTGGCTAGTTTATCTTCCATTGTGATGTAAGCCCGACTCCAACTCCAGACTGGCACCGAGCACTGATCAACATGACACAGCGCCCCACATTGCTCCCCAGCAGCACCGCACCGCGCCCCGTTCCCCCGATCATTGCTCCCCGCGCCGTCCTTGAGTCATGGCTGCAGCTCTGGGAACCATCGAAATATTCGACCACACGCATCCCAAGTTCTGGGAAGCCTGGGTGGACCAGCTGACCAACTACCTCACCTTCCATGACATTACCAACGCCAGTAAGAAACGGTCCCTGCTCCTAAGCTCGTGTGGGGTAGCCACCATCCATCTGGCCAAGGGGCTCATAGCTCCAGCAACATTGACAGACAAAACTTATGAAGACCTCCTAAAGGTCCTAAATGAGTATTTCGTGCCAAAGCCCACAAAAATGGCGAGGCGCATGGACTTATGGGTGTGAACGCAAAAGTCCAGAGAAGGGACCACCGTTTACATGGCCAAGCTATGCCAGCTAGCCATAGACTGTGAGCTGCCAGGGGTCGAGGAAATCATTCTTATGCATCATCTGGGACATCTGCGATCCCAAGCTACGTAGAAAGCCCATGGGAACTGCTGACCTCAAGCTCGAGATGGCACTTCAGACTGCCAACGCGTTCGAGAGGTCGCATCGGGATCGTCCGCCATCTGCCGCGACCCACCAGGTATCCCCAGGGGGTGCCCCAGCCTCCTCAGATGAGGACGAGGTGTTTCAGGTCCATCGGACCGCTCGCCTGACTCTCACCTGTCACCGTCCGTGGCATCCTCCAGCACACCGGCAGCCTGCGCAAGCTGTGGAGAAGCACATGAACAGAGGTCCTGCTGTTTTCGGGATGCTGTCTGCCACTCCTGTGGAAAGCAGGGCCACATTGCCAGTGCCTGCCACTCCAAGAGGAACAATCGCCACACCACCACACACCAAGAAACAGCAGAACTCCACAGCACCTCGATACACTGCAATCAGGTAAATTTCTTGCCCTGGGGGTCCTCCAATAAGATTAAAGTGACTGTCTTGATAGAGGGCACCCCATGCACAATGGAACTGGACACTGGGTCTTCCCTCTTGATAATCTCAGAGGAGACCCTCTGCACGCTCTACCCCACAGGGGGACCCCCACTGGAAGACACCAGCCTAGTGCTAAGGGACTTCCAAAAGAACTCCATAGCCATTAAAGGGATGGGCCAGTTCTGCATAAAATACAAGTCATTCGAAGACCCACTGGAACCGGTCATGGTTAAGGGCCATCTCACCAGTCTACTGGGGCTAGCCTAGTTCGATGCCTTGGGTCTGGCCATCACCGGGATACAAAATGTGCAGTCAGGGGATTTCAGCAAGGTGTGCAATGAGTTCCCAGCCATTTTTGGTGGATCGCTTGGCCGGTACACCGGGCCCCTGGTTGCCCTGACCCTCGATCCAATGGTCCACCCCCTCTGTCTAAAAGCCCGGTGGCCCCAGTGGCCCCCATTCACCCTCCGGCCCAAAATTGAGGCCGAACTCAATCGCCTGGTTAGCCAAGGGGTCCTAGAACCAGTACCCCATGCAAAGTGGGAGACCCCAATCATCACCCCAGTCAAACCTAACGGGGACATCCGCATTTGTGCCAATTACAAATACACCTTAAATAAAGCCCTCCAAGACCATGCGTATCCTGTTCCTGTGGTCAGCTATGTCTCAGCAAATTGGACTTGGCTCAAGCCTACCAGCAACTGCCGGTAGATGAAGCTACAGCAGAGGCACAGACCATTGTGACACACCAGGGGGTGTTTATGATACGGCGTCTACAATTTGGGTTAGTGTAGCTCCAGGGATTTTTCAAAATATGATGGACTGTTTACTGAAAGGGATCCCGGGAGTACAACCTTTTCCCCACAACGTTCTGATTGCGGCACCGTCATCTGAAGCCTTCTCCGACCGTCTCTGTGCTGTCCTTCAGCGATTCAACATGGTGGGGCTGAAAGTGAAGCAGGAGAAGTGTCTGCTCGGGGTCCCCAGTGTCAAGTTCCTGGGATTCGGAGAAGTGTCTGCTCAGGGTCCACCCCATGCCAGACAAGATCAAGGCCATCATAGAAGCACCCACCCCCTCTTCTAAGTCCGAGTTACAGGCCTTCCTTGGCCTACTTAACATTTATCATTCCTTCCTCCCACACAAGGCAGCTGTGGCTGAGCCCCTGCACTGCCTCCTGGACAAACATGCCCCATGGAAATGGGCGCTGCGACATGCTGCGGCTTTCCAGGCAGTTAAAGACTTCGAACGCTGTCCTGGCCCATTTTGATGAGTCCCTCTCAATGGTGTAAGCCTGTGATGCATCGCCATACTGTCCTGGGGCACCAACTGGCCGATGGCCGTGAGGTCCCAGTCGCCTACTACTAGCGCACCTTGTCTTCTGCTGAGTGCAACAACGTGCAAATTGACAAGGAGGCATTGGCGATCATGGCAGGGGTCCGTAAATTTCATGATTACCTGTATGGCCAGCCCTTCACCATCATCCCGGACCACAAGCCGTTATTGGGCCTCTTGGCCCCCAACCGCCAGACACCCCAAATGTTGTCCCTGAGGGTGCTGCGATGGTCCATTTTCCCAGCAGGTTACCAATACACCTTGCTACATCAGCTGGGCAAACCGATGGGTCACGCTGACGCCTTCAGCCGCCTCCCACTGCCTGTCTGCGATCCAGACCCGGTGCCCATGCACCAGATTCTGATGCTGGAGGACCTCCCCGACTGCCCGGTTAAGGTACCCAAGGTCTCCACACACACCAGGGAGGACCGCGTCCTCTCCTGGGTTCTTGACTGGGTGGGGAGGGGTTGGCCCACAGGGCGTGTGGGCCTGGAATTTGCAGCATTCTCGTCCTGCCAGGAAGAACTGTCAGCACACAAGGGCTGCCTCTTGTGGGGTAGCAGGGTAGTCATCCCCGCTCCCCTGCGCAAACACATACTCACCGCACTGCATGAGACCCATCTGGGAATTGTACGCATGAAAGCCTTAGCGCGCAGCTATGTGTGGTGGCCTAGCATGGACAGGGAGACAGAGGACTGGGTCAAATGCTGCCAAACTTGCCAGGAAACATGGCTGACCCCTCCCAGGGTCCCAGTGCGTTTGTGGGAATCCTCACACAAACCCTGGGCTCGCCTACACTTGGACTTTGCGGGCCCGTTCCAGGGACAAACATTTTTCATCCTGGTGGATTCCTACTCTAAGTGGCTTGAGGTGATCCCTGTCTCATCAACATCATTTCGAGCAGCAATCCAGGCCATGTGGAAAATATTCAGCACACATGGTATTCCCAACACCCTCATGTCGGACAACGGGGCAGCTTTTACGTCTGCCGAATTCTTACTTTGTACAATATTATGGAATTTGGCATGTCCACGCTGCACCATTTCACTCGGCAACAAACGCGCAGGCGGAACGAATGGTGTGTACGACCAAAGAGGCACTCTGCCGGATTGTCCAAGGCAAATGGGACTACCGGCTAGCTGCCTTCCTGTGCAGCCAACGGACCACACCGCACACTGCCACCAGCTGCTATCCCGCAGAACTCCTGATGGGCTGCCGCTTGATGACCTGGCTGGACCGCCTACATCCGGACTGGGCCCTCGACCACAGCCTGGGCTCGGTACCACAAGATGCACCCCACGGCTTCTTCCCCAGAGCCAGTTTGGTGTAGTGGTTAAGTGCGCAAACTCTAATCTGGGAGAACTGGGTTTGATTCCCCACTCCTCCACTTGCACCTAGCTGAATGACTTTGGGCAAGCTGTAATTCTGATAAGAGTTGTTCTTGAAAAAGAGCAGTTTCTGTCAGAGCTCTCTCAGCCCCACCTATCTCACAGGGTGTCTGTTGTGGGGAGGGGAAGGGAAAGGAGTTTGTAAGCTGCTCTGAGACACCTTTGGGTAGTGAAAGGCGGGGTATAAATCCAATCTCTTCTTCTTCCCCGAGGACCTGGTGTATGCACAGAACTACGCCAGGGATCAACCATGGATCCGAGCCCAGGTAGTAAGGGTGATGGGGCCTCTCTCTTATGAGGTCTCGACCGAAGACGGCCAGCTAATCTGGAGGCACATGGACCAACTACACCACCACCTGCTGCCCTTAGATGACCAGGAATCCCGAGAAGCTGAGGATGCCGAGGTTGAGCTGGACCCAGAGGAATTAGCGTCGGGACCCACGTAGTTTGACATGACCACAGTTCCTGCCCCTAGTTCTGCTCCAGAGCCTAACCCCAGCCCGGCCCCCACCTTTGGGACAATGCCGCCAGCCACTTCCGAGCCACCCGAGGAACAAGCCGCTACTAGCAGCCATCCTGGCAGCTCCCCCACAGAGCCCTGCCACTTGACTAGAGAACAGCAGCACCCAGAGTACTTGTGGGACTATGTGTGCTAGTGCTTTGGAAGTATGGGGGGAGGGGTGTTATGTATTAAGATAGCCACGGCTATGCTAGCCTAGCCATGTGGTCTGGCAGACCTACAAACCTTCGGCCCGAGAACAATAGCCACCTAGGATCCTAGTGTGGACCAATAGCCGGCCTCGGACTGGTTAGTTCATCTTCCATTGTGACGTAACCTAATAAACTTGAGCTGATTTCACCATGCTGAGCCTCCGCACTCAGTACTTTTTATCTTGTGAGCAAAAATTCTACTTTGTGAGCTACTAGCATTAAAGTTGTGAGTGAGCGATTTGGCTACTGTGTAAATTAGTTTGCTCTGGAGCCATCCTTCCTGAGCTAAGACAAAAACGTGTGAGTTGGAGGCTAAAAAACTGACCTAGCTCACACTAATTCGGATTAGAGACAACAGTGGTGCCCAGTGGTTGGGGTTGCCATTCTCCAGGTCCGGGCAGGGAATTCCCTGGTTTTATGGTCTTCTGGCCAGTGGGGCAAACTCCACCCACTAACAGCAACATTCCTGTGCAACGTCCCCAATGTGGTTTAGCAGGGGTTACCCGCTTTTTGGGGGGTTATACCCACTGCCTAGCCAGCTGGCTGGTGGGGAAGCCCCACCCCAAGCCCCAACACCCACCCTTCCCCCTCCTCTCTTGAGAGAGTGGAGGGAGAGGGGCAGCTGTGGGCCATGTGCCCGATCTCTGGGCAGGTGGGGCCCTCAGCTGCAGGCACTTAAAGTGGCAATGCCACTGGGAGATCGGCGTGTGGGGCCCTGTCCCACCAGCTGTGTGCACTTAAAGGAACCCCTTTAAGTGTTCACAGCCGGCGGAACCGTCCCCACAGGGGTGGGGCTTGGAACTGGGATGTCCCCCAACATGACATCATCATGTTGGGGATGCCCTGCCCCCTCTGGGAATGCCCCCCAAAGTCCCCCGCTGGGGACGAAGATGAACCTGGCAACCCTAGATGTCATCGCGTCAGGGATGTCATGTGGCAACACTCTGGTTTTTGGGCAAAACTCTATGGTTTGACCCTGATTTTACCATAGTTTTGCCCCAAAACCAAAGTGTTGCTCCCAATGTCGCTGACACAGTGTGTTGCTGCCACTGTCACCATTATGGAATGGACCTTGTCCATCTTGCCAGGACCTCCATAGCATTTTGCTTCTGGTTCATGTATTGTCTTTTCCTGTCCTATGTACTTTCAGTGGTGTTATCTGTCAGGAAAAGTAGGTATGGTACAATGTCTCCTGTTTCCCCCCCAACTTTTGTGCTTTTGTCAACATCTCCCATTGAATTTCACTTGATGTATTTGAATGACTTGGGGAATCTCCATTTTGTATCCTAAAAGTAAATCACAGTTCAGGAAGCTAACTAATCTGGATTTAGGGAATTGTTGGCTGTTTCCATTGAATCACAGCAAGAGTTCCAGCTAGTTCCAATATATTTCTATGTTACTATATTAAAAAATGGTTGCTGAACTGAGTTAAATTTTCAGGATTAGGTATAAAAATATGAAAGATATATGTAAAATTCTCCTCAGACTATATGGTAAAGTTGTACAGTTTCAGATGCAAAGAATAATTCCTGAGCAACTGTCTTTTTTTTTCCTCAGCAGTTTTTACTTCACCTTGCAAGTCTACCAGAAAATCTGTACTAGCTAAGGAGATGGTCATGAAGGTACCATAATACTCTCTCTTAAACAATTCAGTGTCAGAATCCCTTTTTTGAAAATAAGATGAAATTGATTCTTGGTGCTTCTTGCATATAGTTGCCTTTTAGAATGTGAATATATTTTCAGCTCCTGATTATAGCAATTCCTTGAGTCAATCAAGGAGAAGAGCCTAGAAACCCAAATATGTTACTAGCAGAACCTACTATACTGTAGTATTGTACAGTTTTTAGTGATAGAATCCTCCTTCAACATTTCAACGCATAAATCCTCCTTCAACATGCTATGCAAACCACATCACTTTTTTATGCTGTGTTAGCCATCTAATGAATGATTGCGGTATTCTAAAATCCTAATCTTCATCCAAGCCTTCTTTTGGATATTCCTCAATAGTGGGTCAATGGATATATATGTTGGACATTACTGTATGAGGGGGAAAGAGCTGTGCAAAATTGGTGAGTGGAGACCAAACAAAGGCAACATGTTTGGTCTGTTTATCTATGAGATTCAGTGTCTCCTCCCAATAAAATAGCCACTAGCACAATCTTAGAGGTGATTTTGCCAAACTCTGGGTAACAGAACAGAATAGTGCACATAAGTTACGAATTGGAACATTAACTCTCATAATTCCATAACAACCTTGGAACATTAACTCTCATAATTTCATAATAACCATGGTCCTTTTTGCCTCAGTTCCACTGACACCGTTGCAAGGTACAATATGCACAGATTATATACTTTCACAAGATTAAGATTTAATTTGATTAAATTTCCTATTTCTCTAATGTGATGCAACACCAATGCTTATTAAGTATATTCATACATGTAATACCATCATCAGTTTTTAGTACAGAAGATATCATGCTCTCAAGAGGATAACCAGTTTCTCTGCAGCAAAAAAAAATGTTATTGAGAGCAAATAGTACGCATCTCCAACAGAGTCTAGTCACAGGAACGGGAAGATATGTGTATGTTGGAATAACAGGGACTACTATTTTACTTGGATGGCTGCTTGCCATTCTGTGTGCTGCATCAGTTAAATTCAGAAATGCTAAAGCAGGTTTAGTACAAAAATATATTCTTCATGCAAACGTTTTTCACCAAATGCTATAGGATTATGGTGTCTCCTTCGCCAAAATTGTCAAATGTTAATTTTCAGTCCTCCTCTGGCCCCAAAACATATGTGAAAAGTGGCAATGAGCGGTTCTGTGTGTTACCAGTCTGTGTGTGGGATTACCTGAGGAATGTAACTTAATAATGGAGGGTATTCTCGAATAAGAAGTAACTTTGAATGGGAAGCCTTCAATTTCTTCAGGATCAATTTTCAACAAAGAAGCAGAAAACATATTTTCTTAATTTTCTGTAACTTTGTGTGCATTTTGGAGGATGGGTCTGTTTTGATGAGTATCATGTATTTCCAGGGCAGGGGGGTAGGATTAATAAAAATACTCATTAGAAGTCACATGTTCTCATCTTTTTGCAATGTCCTTTTAAATTTGAATTTGGTATAATTGGTTTTATTATTTCAGGCCAAGGAAGATGCTGAATGCTCTGCACCAAGCAAGCACCAGTACCAGATTAAGATTCTACCCCCAAACGTCTCAGTTTAAATTTTTTGATGCCAGTTAACTCTATAATTTCATAGAAGCAGTAGAAAAAACCGCAGTCCACAGGTTGTATTTTGCCCATGTGTGATGAATTGCACAGAAAAGCAGGTTTTAAAATGCTGCTTGTTTCAGAGAAACTGGGAGATTAGGAGTTAATCTTCCCTGGAGTGCAGAGTTTATTTGATAGGCTGCTCTACACATTCTCTGACTGCCCAGCATCAGCTGAGAGAAAGTATAATGTCAGCTGCTTTGCAGGGAAAAGAGTTCAGTTGTCAAGCATCAGAGACATCTTTAGATTTTCCTTTTTAACAGGAGTCTTGACTGGGTTAGTCAGAAAGGGTCTTTTACAGAGAGAAGAGAAGAGACTCTTTTGCCCTAACAGTATTAGAACTACTCTGAGGGAGAATTGAGATTCTAGGTCCAGAAAGCTACACATTGCTTTACACAGACAACAGTACTGGAAGACAGATTTGGTAAGGATGACTGGGCAGTTAGGCATAAACTCCCAATCAAGCCAAGTAGAAAAGAGCTATTGCTTCTTAGGGAAAAGAAGAAGAATTCCTGTCAGTAAAAGGGGTTGTGCTCTGAGAAGAACCCAGGGTCTGTAGTAGAGGGAATAAGATGTGGATACCTCAGCAGTTAGTGGAAAGCTGTAATTTCAGAAGGGAGAAACCAGATTTCAAAGGGAGAAATCTAGAAATTCTAAGAAAGAGACATTCTCTGACTGCCCAGCATCAGCTGAGAGAAAGTATAATGTCAGCTGCTTTGCAGGGAAAAGAGTTCAGTTGTCAAGCATCAGAGACATCTTTAGATTTTCCTTTTTAACAGGAGTCTTGACTGGGTTAGTCAGAAAGGGTCTTTTACAGAGAGAAGAGAAGAGACTCTTTTGCCCTAACAGTATTAGAACTACTCTGAGGGAGAATTGAGATTCTAGGTCCAGAAAGCTACACATTGCTTTACACAGACAACAGTACTGGAAGACAGATTTGGTAAGGATGACTGGGCAGTTAGGCATAAACTCCCAATCAAGCCAAGTAGAAAAGAGCTATTGCTTCTTAGGGAAAAGAAGAAGAATTCCTGTCAGTAAAAGGGGTTGTGCTCTGAGAAGAACCCAGGGTCTGTAGTAGAGGGAATAAGATGTGGATACCTCAGCAGTTAGTGGAAAGCTGTAATTTCAGAAGGGAGAAACCAGATTTCAAAGGGAGAAATCTAGAAATTCTAAGAAAGAGCTATTCTCCAGGAAACTCTATGAAGAAGCCGTGTTTTTACTATAATATACTAAGCCAAGCATCTCTCACTGAAAAGGACTAGAAAACTCTGAAATTAAGCTACAGCCACATTCTCTTATATATTCTAAGTTCTCAAGTCTATATACATTATAAAGTTTTACCTCAGCATTTCTAAATCTTGATATCTCATATAGATAGAGAAACAGAGAGATAGAGATAGATATATATGTTAAATAAAATCTTTATTCTGTTCTGAAAGCTACTCTGCCTCAAGTGCCATTTCAGAAGTGTCTAATAATAAGACAAGACAGCTCCTGTTCCCTCAAGTTCCTGTGCTGAGTCAATACCCTAAACAATGATCTGTGCTAGGGTGGGACAATGTAGGTTATTAAGACAAAGAAGACATTTTTTTTTAATTTTTAAAGCTTAACAAATATATCACACAATATAGATGGCGTAATGGCATAAGTACCTAGGAGTAGGGAAGAGAGAGAGGTCCATCATAGCATGGATAAAGTTTTTTAAATGCAACAGTAAGAACTCGGCTCTGAGAGGGAGATGAGATAACAGGTGATTAGTAGTACTGTTCTTTGCCTACCTCTCAAGGATAGATTATTGTTGCCCGGGTAAAAAGGAGATAAATATCGCCTATATAATCTGAATATTGCTGATTATACTGCATATTTCCTCATTACCTTGTTGCTTCTGAGAGGCCAGGTATATATTTTATTTTATTACTCCATCTTCTGATGTAGGTGATCCCTCATTGTCAGTATTAGGTGTGTTACTTTTTCATTTCATAATCTTCATGTTAACTACAGTAATTTATGTATATATTTATTTAAAACATTTCTATGTCAACCAGTTCAAGGTCCGTAAGAAGTGGAGCATTAAATCATGGGAAGGCAAGAAGACAGTTGCCCCTATCCTGGGTCTTGGGCTGCTCCTGTTAGTTGCTTTCAACTTTTTCACCTGGTAAGATCCCCAGGTCACAGTCCCTTAATGGTTTGGACAGAAGATATTGTTCTGATGAAATCACAAATACCATGCCACAGGGCCACTTTGCTTTTCAGGTATCTACAGAAGTTCTTGGGAGCCTCTGGTCTATACTGGCAGACCCAGTGGGAGAATCTGTACCACAGTCTAGGGGGAAATGAATGGTTGATTTTCTTCATAGGTGAGTTCCTTTGAAGTCAGATTTTGTAGGGGAAAGTCTCATCTCTGAGGACCCTGAATCCTGCTAAACATCTATTGCATTTGTCCACTCTTTGGGGACTCACCATGTTAATCCCTTAACACTGCTAGAGGAGGCTGGTCAAGACTGGCTCAGCAAAAGGCCACATGAAGGATGCTGTAATTGTTGTCCCCATTGCCAGAGCCTTGCACTGGCTGCATGTTTACGTACTGCAAGCTTACAGGCAAAGGCCTGGGTATTTTATTTATTTAAACCCCACCACTATACTTTAGTGAGATTTTTAATGAATGATAACAGGGTTTCAAGTATGCTATTAAGAGGATGGGCAGTACTGAGGACCTTGGGCACAGCAGTTCCCCAACACAATTGCAATGCCACAAAACCTTCTGTGGCAGTCCCTCTAATCCTGCACCAACATGTGGATACTCTGATTGTGCTACTGAATAGGTACACTGCTAAGCTCCCATTACTACACCAATGCTAAGTGGTATCCAGATAAAATGGATTCCTCTATCTAATCTCTAAATACTAAGTCCCATCAACTCTCTTTCCTGCTGATGCATCAAAGCGCCATCTTCTTGCTCCTTTTATTTACCACTCTTCCCATCTCACTGTCCCCATCCTCAAAAGTTAAGGTTCTGTCTCACATGTAAGGCACGTATTTTAGTGACAAGCGAGAGCAACCCTACCACCTCTCCTATCAGTCACCTTGGACCTAAACCACCTACAGAAGTTCCCATTCACTCCCTCTCTTTTCCATGCCACAGTCACACTCTTGGTCCCTGGGATTATTTTCTGGAGCTTCAATATGATCCTGATGGTGGTGGATGTAACTGGAAAGCCAACCTTCATCACACAATATCGTATTCAGTTGGGGAAGAATGACCCTGTAAGTATTTTTCTTATTTGGCTTCCTGCATAGATTGAATATGTCCGTCCCCCCTTTGAGAGGGAGGTGGTGATAAGTCTTTATAGTGCAACAAAAAACATTAGTTTTCTAAGGAGTGAAATGGGGACTGTCTGGCTCATAAAAAGGGAAGGATTTTACATCTCCGCCACCCACCTTACACTTCGTTGCTGAAATCCCACCAAACTGTTCTGCAGTTTTTATTGCTCAAGTCCTTTCTCATATACACCCTAGGGGCAGTCTGCAGTCTTTATTACCCATCCTTTTTTGCACCTGAAGTAACAAAAGTTGGCAGTCCTTACTAGGTGGACTCCTGTCATTGGTAGCTTGGGGGCCATTAGTCTCCTTGGCCATTCAGGTATTTTTGGGATATTTTTAGATGAAGTTTGTTGGATTGTTTTGATGAGAAAGCTTATGAACCTTTGAAACATGATTCCCATCACTCATTCAGACAGTCCTTGAAATTAACAAAGTAGTTTCTTCAGTAGGATGCCTGGTCAAACTGAATGATTCCATGGGTGAAGTCCTCTGTGAATCAAATATGCACTGTGGGATGGAACAGGCTTGGAAACATTTTCTTTTAAAATAAATATTTTACTCTTTGATGCTGGTGGCAATTCTTTGCCCCACATAGCTCCCCAACTGCTGTTGGAAATGCTACTGTATAAAGGGGGGCCCAAGGGGGGAGGAAGAGATCAGGGTGCAAGTGGCCAACCCTCCAGGGAAAACCCAAAAGCTGCATTTGGTTCCTGTGGTAACCAGATGCTGAGTAGGAGGAGACCTTTAGGCCAGGTCTCAGAACTGGGAAGGGGGAGAGTCCTCTCATTCAGGACTCCTAAAATGAACAGGTGGTGGCAGCAAATACCCTAGTGAAAGGAAGAGGAATATCTTCCTCCAGGAGTTGGCAGCCCCAACAGAGGGAGTGGGCAGAACAGGGTCTGTAGGTCAAGCAGGCCTGTTCCGTCACACACTGGGACAGGAGAATACATTAGAAGCATTCGTAGCTGTTCTCTAATTTGGGGCATCCTTTCCCCACATCTGCCAAAAAGGATGTAATTTAAATTTTTATGATGAGTGGAGTGGGGGTTTAATTTCCCTGTTTCTGAAGTATCTTAGTTGCCTCTGAATGGAGGTGAACATTGATAGAAAGACACATGGTACAGCCTTCTTAAGACTGCACCACTTAATAATGCAGGTATTTGATTCCTTACATTGAACACACCTTGGATAACTAATGCAATTGTCCTTTGCTTGCTAGATACAGAGAGATTTTGTTAAGAAATGATTTAAATATGCAGTTCTCCAGCTGCATTCTGGAGCTGTTTTTTCAGGAACATGACAATGGAGTTTTTCTGAACCTCTGAATGAATTTTTTTTTATTTTTAGTAAGAGTGGATTTGTTATGCTGCCTGCTACAAAATATGGCAGGCTGAAGTCCATGTAATTTAAGTTAAAATGTAGGTAAAATATAAAAGTGGTATTCTCCCCCCCCCCAATTTTAAGTCACTTGACAGCCAAAATCATACTAATGCTGCATTTGAGTACAAAGGTAATGTCCAGTTTGCGAAAGTGACAATTTAATCTGCCATAGACCCCCCCCCAAGCACCAAGAAGACAGAGCATCACTTGCCCCAGAGTCCCTATCTAGACCTTGTGGCTAATAGCCACTGATGGACCTCTGCCATGGAAAGCATCACAGACAAACACATATCTGATTCCAAATATCCAGCTAGCTCCCTCTTTAATGCGAAATGGTTCCCAATACTTGAATTTTTATCAAAAGAAGAATACATACCCCAATCATGGAAGAAGTATCACAAATGGATATAAAAAAAGCTATCTCCCACGGATCATACTCTACAAACACTCCATGATAACACCACACTCTGGCACACCATCTCAATATATGTAACAAGCTATTTAGATTGTGTATAAAAAGCACCAGATTTGTTTACAATAATCACTATTCACTGTTCTCGTACTTGAGTTTTTGTTCACGAGTTAAGATTCTCTTCACGGTCAAGCGCTACAAAACAACATACCAACAAAACTTAAAGTTGTATTGTTACCATTTATATTCATGTTGTTGTATATACTGAAACAATTTCTTGAATACTTGTTTTATCTACTGTATCACTATTTTTTGCTGATAAAAATTTTAATTAATTTTTAAAAATCTAGATTTTTTAAAAACAAAGGACGAGGGACCGAAATCATCATTGGGAGCATGATGGGTTGTTGTTTTTTTTCCTCGCCAAACTGGACGCAGATATTTTTACACTGGGGGTGGGGTGGAAGTAGTTTGAGTTGCAGGCCTCAATTCAGGACTCAGCATAGGGGACTTCTCCTAACTCTGCCGAAGAAATCAAACAACTCAGCTAAAATGGGAAGCTTCCGGGAGAGACTGGGTTCACCTCTTGCCTCCCTTACTCTTTGGGACTTACATTCAGGGCTATTTTAGTCCATGTAATTTAAGTTAAAATGTAGGTAAAATATAAAAGTGGTATTCTCCCCCCCCCCAATTTTAAGTCACTTGACAGCCAAAATCATACTAATGCTGCATTTGAGTACAAAGGTAATGTCCAGTTTGCGAAAGTGACAATTTAATCTGCCATATTTCACCTATAGATATTTTGGACTTTGACCTAGTAAGGGAAATAACCAAAACTGGAATGGAAGCAGACAAGATAGTTTATTAGCTGTCTTTAATGGTGCTAGCTGTTCTGGGGTGATAGGTGGAACCAAATCACATACTGCATAGATAGGAACATCTGTTAATAGTAGAGCAGCTGTAAATCAGCAACTGTACATTTGATGATGAATTTAATAACTTTTTGGTAATATGCTGGCAGCCATTTATCCCGTCCATTTTGCTTCCCCCTACTTTGAAGTGGGGGAGCAAAACTGACAGGTTCAACGGCCTGCAGCCATAGAAACCTAACAGCTGATGTGTGGACCCACCCCACTGTTAGGTTTAAATGGCTCACAGCCATTTCAGCCTAACAGCAGAGGACAGGGGCATCTGTCTGCTGGTAGGCTGAAATGGCTGGAAGCCATTTCAGCAGTCTGTTTTGCTTTTTGCTCCCCCCCCCCCCGCTTCCTAGCGTGGGGAAGTGAAACTGACCAGTGAAATGGCTTGCAGCCATTTCAGTTGCAGACCCATGCCCCTGAGCTGTTTGATTTAAATGGCCTGAACAGCCAAACTGGACAAAAGTCCCGTAAATGTTCAGGGATGGTGTCTTCCCTGAACATTGATTTGGGGCCCCTGAAGTGGGCCACATTTATGCAGAATTTTGGCTTGTGAACCAGTTTGTGTCCATCACTAGTATTAACCTTGTGGTGGTGGCAAGGTAACAAATGTAGGCCCTGGCTCCAAACAGCTAATCGGCAGTGCCAGAACTGAGAGCTCACTACTTAAAGCATTTTCAATTCCTTAGGAAGCAGATGCATTTTCTTTCTCCCCTAGGTTGACAGAACAAGACTGCACAAGACTATCCTTATGGGACTGTTAAATCAAATTTTCATCTCTGTTCCGCTGGTGATGTTGACTTTGCCCATCTTGAAACAGAGGGGTGATCCTTTCAGTTTGTCATTGCCCACTTTCCACTGGTTTCTTTTTGAGCTAGCTGTCTTTACAGTACTGGAGGAAATTGCGTTCTATTACACTCACCGGTAAGGAGCTAATTACTACAAAGTAACAAAGCAAGGCTTCTGTATTAATTGGTTTCATGAAGTCAAAATCTGCCTGTTTACAGTTAACTATAGAGGCTGCAAAAGGTCTTGCATTCCTTGGTTTATATAACAAGTAGTCCAATGATGTAGTCACTTGTTTGATTGAACACACATAAACACATGAAGCTTCTTTATAGTGACTCATTGGTCCAATTCTCAGACTGGCAATAGCTTTCTAGGGTGTTAGGCAGAGGTCTTTCACATCCAGAATCTTCTGCCCGCCAAGTGGAAGTTCTATCACTAATAGTCTTTTGGGTTTTTTCCCCCATTTTCCCATTTTGGCATTTATGCCCTATCTGTGAGCCGCCCTGAGCCCGCTTGCGGGGAGGGCGGGCTATAAATTTAATAATAAATAAAATAAACCTTTCTCGTTAAGACTCAAAAACAGATTACAGTTATGAGGACCATGCAATAAAGACCCGTTGACTGTATGTATTGAAACTGGATTACACACAGGAAGAAAATAAGCAAAAATAATGTAACACATCCTAGCTTGTATTTTTCTGAGGGAAAAAATAAAGTGTAATACATCCAACAAACTACAGCATGAATGTGTAAGAGAATTAGACAGCCTAAAATTACCTTTAGAGAAATTGCCCTACTGCAGGATTCTATTTTACACACTCTGTGAAATGACAGACAAGTGGAGAGCCTTCTTGACCTTGTACAGGCAAGTCACTGCGCCTGCGATTCCTTTTCAGGGGGACATCTTCAGAAGGCTGTGCTCAAATGGGCAAAGTCTTACCAGAAAATATCAAGAGAACTGACGCTGTTAATGTGTGTTCAAAAACCATGAAGGGGCTTATAGCTAATAGCCAGCACTTGGAAAGGAAGGTGGTAAGATCTGACTGCATGACTCTATCTAGTGCTCAGTAGTAATTACACAAGTAATGGTATTCTGCACCATCTGGAGTGTGATATTTCTTCTAAGTTAGACCCATGTAGGGTGTGATACAGTAATCTAGCTTTGAGCTTACAGTGGCATGGATCTGTACGGCCAGAGCACATGGGTCAAGGTAGGGAGCCATCCTCTAGGCTGAGGGAAAACTGAAAAAAGAGTTGTTCACGGCTGAATTTCAAAGGGGTGTTTTGCATGTTACTAACCATTATACTGGTAAATAAAGGTGGGTAGCTGTGTTGGTCTAAAGCAATAGAACAAAGTTAGAGTCCAATGGCACCTTTAAGACCAACAAAGTTTTATTCAAGGTGTGAGCATGCACACGAAAGCTCACACCTTGAATAAAACTTTGTTGGTCTTAAAGGTGCCATTGGACCCTAACTTCATTATACTGGTAGTCATTGCAGAGTATAACGGTTAGAGACATGCAAAAACCCCTTTGAAATTCAGCAACACACGCAATGTATATAGTGGTTTCTAAGTGGATGTTTGCCATATTCATGCTCTTCACCCTTTTAAATAAGCTCAGAAGGCTTTTCATATGAACTTCTTGTTTCTGACTTATTTCTTGGTTTAGTTACTGATCCTTTTTCAGTTTTGATATTGTCTTATTATGGATTCAAATTGTTTCTCACCTTGAAAATTACACAGCATAATGCACACCTGGCATTAATCTGTTCCATTGGTTTGCCTTATCCCTGTATATGGATCTTCTGGTTTCAGAAGCTTACTCCCATTTTAAACAGGGAACATATTCTGCTTCTTCCCATGCAGGCTTTTGCACTACCCTTTCTTGTATAAACATGTGCACAAACAACATCATGAATGGACTGCTCCTGTGAGCATTGCCAGTATGTATGTTCATCCATTAGAGAATCTGGTAAGTGTTATTTCAGAGGTTCAGTTGAAACTTGAGGTAACTCAGGCCACATTCAGACATCATAACAAACCTCTGGACTTGGTGGAGATGGGTGTGAACATTGCATCTTCAACGTGGTCTTTGTGCTTCACACCCATGGCATCTAGTGGCATGGGTGTGATCGGTGCTGTAGCAAGCTCTTTCAACGGATTTTCGCACCCAGTCCCTCTAGGCATGCGCAGGAACCCCACTGCGCATGCCTAGAGGGGTGGGCGCGGACATCCCGCCAGTTCCTTTCTTACCACCGCGTTGGAAAGACCTGTTTTTTCGTCGGTCTGATCGGATCGCTGTTAGCTTCAAAAAGAAAACCTCTCAGCTCTGGAAAATTATTTCCAAACTTTATTCTTTTCCTTTTTTTTCGTCGTTTTTCAAGAAACTTTTTTTTTTAAGAGAACTTTTGTTTTCTTTGAGGGGAATTTACCTCAGGCCTTCGGGCTACCCCCCCCCCTTGAACTGTCTATCTTTGCGCCAGTTCTTATGGAGAAGAAGTGGGGATTTTTTAATAGGTGTCAACGTTGCAGAAGCAAACTTGCCCCTCCCGACCGGTATACTCTTTGTATTTTTTGCCTCGGGGAGTCTCATAAACTGGAGTCCTGTCGGCATTGCGCTCATTTCTCCAATCAAACGAGGAAAAACCGCGCTGCGCACCTTAAAGTAGCACTACTTGAATCAGCCCTCGCTCCCACTTCAGCGATGGAGGAAAGGCTGTCTACATCGACAGCTCCGACGTCGAGGCCTGCCTCCGATGTTGATTGTCTGACATCGAAGCACCCGATGTCAAAGGCATGATCATCTGCCTCCACGCCGGTCAAAAAGAAGGCTAAGGCAAGTACAGAAGTCAAGTCTGCGAAGAAGGGTACCTCCAAGTCCCTTAAGGCGACGAAGAAGGGGAAGGAAGCGGTACCTGCACTGGGTGATGCCCCTGTAGTGCCTCCCGCTCCACCGGCAGTATTGATATTGGAGGCCCAAGCTCCTCCACTGATACCGACCATCCATGTATTGGATTCCCCCGTCCATCAAACGGAGCATCCTTACTCCGATATTGAAACGGTAGAGCTCCTAAGTCATCAGATGGATGCAGAGCATTCTCCGCCTCCTTCTCCGTCGTCGACATCGACAGTATCAGAAGCTCCCGACGTTGAGCTCCCTCGGCACCGATATACCTCATCTGCCATGCAGCGTCACCCTCCTTGTCTGCACACTCAAACTGTTGATATCGACACTCGAGATTACAGAGAAATGTCACACAGACAAGCTATTGCTTTGTCTCCCAGACGGCCACGGTCCAGAAGTCGCTCCCCGAGAGTTTTTCTGTCCCCCCCCCGATGTCGTGGGACCAACATCAGTTGAGATACCTCTACGGGGCCTATCCACCATCTCTGCCATGGTTAACACCCGCCGATTATTCTGATTGAGACAGCTACTCCACCCAATCTGTTCATCGGTCGAGATCTCCTCATAGATCAAAACCTTCGGCATCTCTGTCATGTCCTCCTGTAATCGGCCCATCCCACCATACTTTGGAACCAAGTCGTCCACTCAACCCTCCTGTCAATCCAAACCCTGTCGTTCCTGTCATCCAACCTAAACCAGTTACTTGCCCACAGGACACGTCGGTCCAGATACACCAACAAGACTCTTCCGACTTCGTGGAAGAGGATTCAGATACGGAGGTTTCTGAAGTTCACACTTCCCCTGACCATAAGTCTCCTAACCAGGATGTTACTGAAGACTTACCTATATCCCCTTCAGATAACCTTACATCTTATACGGATCTGGTCAAACGTATGGCCCATTCTCTAGGTCTCTCTGTCGTCCAGCAGCAGCTTCAGGCGACAGACTCTGTCTACGATATCGTTCAGCTTGACATCTCTTCCACCTTGGCATTGCCGATGTCTTTGGTCCTTCTCCAAGGAGCAAAGTCACCGTGGCTGAAATCTTCATCGGTCCTTATGTCCACACGAAAACTGGACCACATGTACAGGGTACAGGACACGGATGCACAATTTCTCTTCTCTCATCCTCAACCTAACTCAATGTTCATTACATCGTCCTCCAAATCCCGGAAGACGCATTCCGCACCTTCTAACAAGGAGGGAAAGAAATTAGATGCCTTTGGCAGACGGTTTTATTCCACGGGAGCGTTGGCAGTCAAGGCCACCAACTACCTGGCCTGTATGAACCGCTATCAGTACATGCTTTGGGAACGGTTCTCAGAACTCCTAAGTCACCTACCAGATGACAAACTGCAAACAGCCAGAGTCATACAGAAAGAGGGCATGGTGTTGGCAAAACAACAGCTCAACACAACCAAACACGTCCTCGAGGCGTCTTCGAGACAAATGGCTTCTGCAATAGCTCTCAGAAGGCATTCC